ACTCCAAACACACTCTTAGTATTTTATTTTTCTTATTAAATTTAGGGTGTTAATATTAGCCGTTAAATTAACTTTAAAGTAAAATTTAAAGCGATCTCAATTGCGAATAATAAAAGTCATTTTGTTTATTTTTTGAGATTTAAATTGTAAGTTACTTTATTATATAGATATCAAATGTTAAATTTATACCAAACTACTAACGAAACTTTTAATATTTTTTGCATTGAGGCAATTGAACTTATCACTTCTCTTTTTGGAGATTCTTCCATGGTTGATAATCATTGAAATGGGGATAAGGATCAAAATTTTATTTCACTATATTGTTTTCGTTACTTAGGAAACGGAAAAGTTTTTACATATTTCAGAAATATTTTGACATTTTTTTGAAAATAGAATGAGCAAAATAAAAAAATTAAGATTTATTTTTTCAAAATATTGATTGAACTATACCAAAAATATTAAAATACCTTGAAATTTTTTGAAACAATTGCGTAAATACATTGAAACATTTCAAACCACCTCGACCATCCCATCCCAATAGCTTATATTTGGATGGGATGGCTCCTACTAGCTCTCCCCCCCTAAGAACCGCACGTGCGAGTTTCCCCCCACACGGCTCAAGTGGTGAAGACCCTTTCCTTCACGCTTGGTAAGCACTTCCATGATCAATAATTAAAAAGAGGACAAGGACCAAGCTTACTGCTAGCCTATCGGCTAGAGCCAAGTTTCAAAGTATTAGAATTTCGATTTTATCACTAATTTATTTTGATTTTCTTAAAAATGAAACGTTGTGAATGTTTCGACCATTTCACAACCAAAATTTTAATTCTTGAGTGGGGCCACTACTTCTTACAAGCAACCAAAATCCCTCTCTTAACCCAGTCTAAGGATCTGAACTGCAAGATTTACTACATAAATACGAAAAAAAGAAAGGAACCTTTGAACTAAAAGAGAAGATTATAAAAGCATGGTCAAATTATGCCTTATGCACATTACTTTTATTTTGCTTTTCCTCGGTGCTGAAACACCATACCCAGAATAAAAATCTCAGCAGGGTGAGTGAGAAGGGTAAGGATTTGCCTACTCCTTACAAAATGAGCACTTACCATTTCCTAATCCAATCTAAGGATCTTAACTGCAAGATATATTATTAAATAAATTAAAAAAAAAAAAAAAGGCGAACCTCAGAGACGTAATAGAGAATATTATAAAGCATGGTCAAATTTTCCATCATGAATATAACTTTTCTTTTGCTTTAAACACCAGTAAAAGTAAAAATTCGAGGGGAATTGAGACTCTAAGAATCCATATATATTTTAAGAGTAATGTTATATGGACTTAAAAATTAAACTTGATTATTATAACTATTGATCTCATTGTGGGTCCCAATATTTATTGAGACTCACTACCTATTCAATAGTTGAGATTATTAAATCTAGTTTTTTAGTTTACTTTTTAAGTCTATATAGCATTACTCAGATTTTAATGAGTTTGATCTATTAAAAGTATATTTGAATTATAAATTACTTTTAGTTAACTTAAAAGTTTTGTCGGATTAAAAAATACTTCTAGTAAATTGATGGACCGCTCGGTAATGCTTCTTCTAAATAAAATTATTTATGCAAAAACTAATTCCATTTTAAACATGGATTTTTGTTACTGTATATTTTACAAAAAAGTGGTCTTTATCATGTACCTTAATATAAAATAATATATTCAGATATGTACACATACATATGTGTATTATTATACTTGCGATTAAGCTTGGAAGAATGGAGCATACTCGACAAAGTAAAAAAATTGCAAGACAAACACTAATTAAAAAATACTTAAAAAAGTATAATCAAACAGAAGTTGAATTAGTGGACATTTTTTCAGCTACTAACAAGATAAATCCTTTTGAACTGCTCCTTTTATTTTGTCATCTCCCAATATTAACCACTAATGCCCCTCCTTGTCATCTAACATGTCGTCGTCGTCTTCTTTGTGGAAAAAAAAAAGCAGATTAGGATTCGGAGGAGCAACTGTCATATACAACATTTCTTCTCTCAAGAGAGTTAATCCCCCTATATAGCTTCGAAAAATCTCTGAATTCTCTCAATTTCTGTTGCTCATGGATCCTATTTTTAACCCCATATTGTTCATGTAATTACTGATAAAAAAATATTGAACATAGAAAAAAGGGTTATAACTTACGTAGTTTCATTATATTGGAAAGTAGCAACCGTACAACTAGCTACAGATCATATTACAAAGGATGATATAGATGATTCCCATCTTGATAACTCATAAGGCTCCATCTAACTAATTATAAACCCCCATCTTGAAGCATACTTGACAAGCTCTTTCATCTCTTCTTCGTTGATGACTCCGTCTCCATTGGCATCTGCATGGTGAAGGGCACGTCGAGCTCTCCAGCCACTGAATTTCAAGCCGAGGCTTTGGAAAGCTTCCTTCAGCTCTTTCCTACTCAGTTTGCCATCTTTGTTTGTGTCATATCTCTTAAGAAGACCCTTCAGCTGATCATCGGGCAAGGGCCAACTTCCAGGTCTAGTAACCCAGGCACAACACATAGGCATATTGTTGGTGTTATCTGTTGAGTTGGTTTTGCAGCTAGGAACAACACTGTTACTTATACAGTGAAAAAGCATGCCTTTAGGGCTTTAATTAATATTCTTTCTGGGTTACCCTTTCCTTAAGGTGGTGGATAAGTACTAAGTGTGGCCACAACGAAAAATATCTTAAAGCACACTCAGAATATGTGCATTGAGATGTTATTGCAAGCCCCGATTATGCAATTCATACAAAGTACATTTGAAAAGAAAGATTCTTGACTATTATGGTTAGGAAAATTTTTTTAGCAAGTTATACACACCATATAACAGTGTCAAGTGATGTACATACTCAATGAAAAATTGCTACAACACTAATTTGGGGAACATACAAGTTAACTTTTTCAATAAAATGGTAGGTGATCGTTTTTTATTGAAAATGAACAAAATTTATAGGTGATTGACGTACACCACATAACATTTATTTATGGGATTTTGTTCATTACACCATCATGCATAATATGGTGAAATATAATGGATAGAGAACTAGATAAGATATAGTGAGACCTGAGATATCCTAAGTCTCACCTTTTCAAATAGAGGGAGTTTGATCGGAACGTACCTTCTTGAGGCCAAGAGGTTGACACATCTTTCTCGGAGAAGAAGAGATTAGGTCTCACTTTATCTATATGTTTTTTACTACCGATGTGGTGTACCAGGTTCGCATGATGTTGTGGTTAACCTTTTTTTACAAAGTAATTTCCTACTAAAAATGACCAGCCCTCATTTTGCTTAATGCTCCGTTTGGTAGGGAGGATGAAAAGTAAAAGAGATACATTTTCTATCTTTTAAGAATGAAAAGTAGAAATGATACACTTTCCTTTATTTGTATTTGATTGTATGGATGGAAAATAAAAATAAATTTTTTTTGTGCTGATTAAGATTAGGGGTGACAATCGAGTCGTGCCATGTCAGAATCGTGTTGAGTCATTACGGGTTTGTGTCGAATATTAGTTAAACCTAACTTAACTCATTAAACTAATTGTGTCGTATCGAGTTACAAGTTGACCTGTTTATTTTCGTATCAAGTTCGAGTCGTGTCATCGTGTGAGTCAAAAATTTGTACCTTTAGTTAAGATGGAAAAAATATATTTTTTTAATTTAAAATTTTTATTTTTATTTTTTTAAATTTATTTTTAAATTTTTTTAATATATGTATATTCATTTTTTACTATTGTATTTTTATATGAAGTTAATGTATACATAACATATGAANTAAACGATTTGAACGTTTCTACCGTTTCAAAACAAAAAATTTGATTTTTTAGTGGGCCACTACTTCTTACAAGCAACCAATATGTTGGGATTTAACACGATTTAAATCCACTAATAAACACACACAATCGAAGAACAAATCAAGAATATAAAGAAATANAATACATAAAAAGATATATAGAGAAATAAGATCTATGAAATACGGATACTTCATCAAGGTCAACGTACCCCTATCAAATACTATATCGGATACTTGATGATACGTATCAGATATGCATGATCTGTATCCAATAATTAATAAAATATGTGGATACTTCTAAACATGAAATAAGATGTATAATTTTCAATTTAAAGTTATACCTCTTCTTTGGAGTTCACATACAATATAAAACATTAACAAAATTTCATTTGATTTTAAAGACACGAGTATTTTTTTAATATTATCTATTATTAAATATTAAGAGAGTATAAAAAAAATGAGTCACTTACACTATACTTTTAAAAATAAATACTTNGAACATGACACAGATTTTATGTGGTTCGGCAATTTGCCTACGTCCACGAAGCTACAGAGATTTCACTATTAAGAGAGTTGAATACAGAGAGTGACTGTACAATCCACAATAAACCCTAATCACCAAAACAACAGGGTTTATATGTCTTACGCACTGAGCTGTATAACGAGTCCAAAAATTTTCGGCCCAAGCCTTCGCTCTATGGACTAAGCCTTAGAAAATTTTCTATTAAAAAACCACACAACATTACTTCGGGTCAGGTCATCATCCGAATCACATATACAAACTAGACTCCATAAAAAAAAAACCAACACAATATCCCTCTCTTGACCCGGTCTAAGGATCTGAACTGCAAGATTTACTATATAAATACGAAAAACAGAAAAGAACCTTTGAACTAAAAGAGAAGGTTATAAAAGCATGGTCAAATTATGCATTATGCACATTACTTTTCTTTTGCTTTTCCTGGGTGCTGAAACACTTTACCAAGAATAAAAATCTCATCAGGGTGAGTGGGAAAGAGTAAGGATTTGCCTACTCCTGACAAAATGGGCATTTACCATTTCCTAATCCAATCTAAGGATCTTAACTGCAAGATATATTATTAAATAAATTAAAAAACAAAAGGCGAACCTCAGAGAGGTAATAGAGAATATTATAAAGTAAGGTCAAATTTTCCATCATAAATATAACTTTTCTTTTGCTTTAAACACTAGTAAAGTAAAAATTCGAGGGTGATTGAGACTCAAAAAATCCATATATATTTTAATGAGTTTGATCTACTAAAAGTATATTTGAATTATAAATTACTTTTAGTTAATTTAAAAGTTTTGTCGGATTAAAAAATACTTCTAGTGAATTGATGTACCGCTCAGTAATGTTTCTTCTAAATATATTTATTTATGCAAAAACTAATTCCATTTAAAACATGGATTTTTGTTACTTTTTTTACAAAAAGTGGTCTTTATCATGTACCTTAATATAAAATAATATATTCAGATATGTATAATGCGATTAAGCTTGGAAGAATGGAGCATACTTTACAAAAAAAAAAAAAAAAAGGGCAAAAATGCAAGGACAAACGCTAATTAAAAAATACTTGAAAAAGTATAATCAAACAGAAGTAGAATTAGTTGACATTTTTTCAGCTACTAACAAGATAAATCCTTTTGAACTGCTCCTTTTATTTTTTCATCTCCCAATAATAACCACAAATGCCCCCCCTCCCCCTGGCATCTAACATGTCGTCGTCTTCTTCTTCGTGGAAAAAAAAAACAGATTAGGATTCGGAGGAGCAACTGTCATATACAACATCTCTTCTCTCGAGAGTTAATCCCCCTATATAGCTTCGAAAAATCTATGAATTCTCTCTATTTCTGTCGCTCATGGATCCCATTTTTGACCCCAGATTGTTCATCTAATTACTGATAAAAATATATTGAACATAGAAAAAAGGGTTATAACTTACATAGTTTCATTATATTGGAAAGTAGCAACCTTACAACTAGCTATAGATCATATTACAAAGATGATATAGATGATTCCCATCTTGATAACTTTTTTTTTTTCTTCTTAAAATTTTTTTTTTTTTTTTTTGGGAGAGGAGGGGGAAGAGGAACTTGAACCCTTCACCTCTAAAAGGCAAAATCTTTCACAAGACAAAGACTATCATTTGACCAAAAGTCCATTCGTTGATAACTCGTAAGGCTCCGTCTAACTAATTATAAACCCCCATCTTGAAGCATACTTGACAAGCTCATTCATCTCTTCTTCGCTGATGAGTCCGTCTCCATTGGCATCTGCATGGTGAAGGGCACGTCGAGCTCTCCACCCACTGAATTTCAAGCCGAGGCTTCGGAAAGCTTCCTTCAGCTCTTTCCTACTCAGTTTGCCATCTTTGTTTATGTCATATCTCTTAAGAAGACCCTTCAGCTGATCATCGGGCAAGGGCCAACTTCCAGGTCTAGTAACCCAGGCACAACACATAGGCATATTGTTGGTGTTATCTGTTGAGTTGGTTTTGCAGCTAGGAACAACACTGTTACTTATACAGTGAAAAAGCATGCCTTTAGGGCTTTAATTAATATTCTTTCTGGGTTACCCTTTCCTTAAGGTGGTGGATAAGTACCAAGTGTGGCCACAACGAAAAATATCTTAAAGCACACTCAGAATATGTGCATTGAGATNGATGATATAGATGATTCCCATCTGGATAACTTTTTTTTTTCTTCTTAAAATATATATATTTTTTTTTTTGGGAGAGGAGGGAGAAGAAGAACTTGAACCCTTGATCTCTAGAAGGCAAAACCTTTCACAAGACAAAGACTATCATTTGACCAAAAGTCCATTGGTTGATAACTCGTAAGGCTCCATCTAACTAATTATAAACCCCCATCTTGAAGCATACTTGACAAGCTCATTCATCTCTTCTTCGCTGATGAGTCCGTCTCCGTTGGCATCTGCATGGTGAAGGGCACGTCGAGCTCTCCACCCACTGAATTTCAAGCCGAGGCTTCGGAAAGCTTCCTTCAGCTCTTTCCTACTCAGTTTGCCATCTTTGTTTATGTCATATCTCTTAAGAAGACCCTTCAGCTGATCATCGGGCAAGGGCCAACTTCCAGGTCTAGTAACCCAGGCACAACACATAGGCATATTGTTGGTGTTATCTGTTGAGTTGGTTTTGCAGCTAGGAACAACACTGTTACTTATACAGTGAAAAAGCATGCCTTTAGGGCTTTAATTAATATTCTTTCTGGGTTACCCTTTCCTTAAGGTGGTGGATAAGTACTAAGTGTGGCCACAACGAAAAATATCTTAAAGCACACTCAGAATATGTGCATTGAGATGTTATTGCAAGCCCCGATTATGCAATGCATACAAAGTACATTTGAAAAGAAAGATTCTTGACTATTATGGTTAGGAAAAAAATTTCAATAAATTATACACACCACATAACAGTGTCAAGTGGTGTACATACTCAATGAAAAATTGTTACAACACTAATTTGTGGAACATACAAGTTGACTTTTTCAATAAAATGGTAGGTGATCGTTTTTTATTAAAAATGAACAAAATTTATAGGTGAGTGACGTACACCACATAGCATTTATTTATGGGATTGTGTTCATTACACCATCATGCATAATATGGTGAAATATAATGGATAGAGAATTAGATAAGATGTAGTGAGACCTGAGATATCCTAAATCTCACATTTTCAAATAGAGGGAGTTTGATCGGAACGTACCTTCTTGAGGCCAAGAGACTGACACATCTTTCTCGAAGAAGGAGAGATTAGGTCTCACGTTGTCTCTATATTTTTTACTCCTGATGTGGTGTACCACGTTCTCACGATGTTGTGGTTAACCTGATTTTANATTCATCTCTTCTTCGCTGATGAGTCCGTCTCCGTTGGCATCTGCATGGTGAAGGGCACGTCGAGCTCTCCACCCACTGAATTTCAGGCCGAGGCTTCGGAAAGCTTCCTTCAGCTCTTTCCTACTCAGTTTGCCATCTTTGTTTTTGTCATATCTCTTAAGAAGACCCTTCAGCTGATCATCGGGCAAGGGCCAACTTCCAGGTCTAGTAACCCAGTCACAACACATAGGCATATTGTTGGTGTTATCTGTTGAGTTGGTTTTGCAGCTAGGAACAACACTGTTACTTATACAATGAAAAAGCATGTCTTGAGGGCTTTAATTAATTAATATTCTTTCTGGGTTACCCTTTCCTTAAGGTGGAGAATAAGTTTTTTTTTTTTTTTTTTAAAGACACAGAATTTTATTGATTATGTGGTGAGTAAGTGCTAAGTGTGGCCACAACGAAAAATATCTTAAAGCACACTCAGAATATGTGCATTGAGATGTTATTGCAAGCCCCGATTATGCAATTCATACAAAGTACATTTGAAAAGAAAGATTCTTGACTATTATGGTTAGGAAAAAAATTTCAATAAATTATACACACCACATAACAGTGTCAAGTGGTGTACATACTCAATGAAAAATTGTTACAACACTAATTTGTGGAACATACAAGTTGACTTTTTCAATAAAATGGTAGGTGATCGTTTTTTATTAAAAATGAACAAAATTTATAGGTGAGTGACGTACACCACATAGCATTTATTTATGGGATTGTGTTCATTACACCATCATGCATAATATGGTGAAATATAATGGATAGAGAATTAGATAAGATGTAGTGAGACCTGAGATATCCTAAATCTCACATTTTCAAATAGAGGGAGTTTGATCGGAACGTACCTTCTTGAGGTCAAGAGATTGACACATCTTTCGCGAAGAAGGAGAGATTAGGTCTCACTTTGTCTCTATATCTTTTACTCCTGATGTGGTGTACCACGTTCTCACGATGTTGTGGTTAACCTGATTTTACAAAGTAATTTCCTACAGAAAATGACCAGCCCTCATTTTGCTTAACTGATCAGCTCCCTCCATGGGATTATTTTTCTTTCTCTCGTTGACAATAGTGGTGCTAATTTAGCATCTCATATTTTTTTTTTTTGGCACTTGGCAATGGGGTTCCTTTTGTTCATGTGAAACTGTCCCCTCTCCCCCTCCCCCCAAGAAGCCTTTACTCATGAGGAGGATAAACAAAAAAGGAAAGCATATTTTCTTCGAGCACCTAGCAAGAACTTTATTCGAACCTCAAGACTTGGTAATGAAATATTCTATCCGAGCAATGCTATTGTGACCTAATTTATAAACTTAATTCACTATGACTTTTGGATTAACTGTGGAGTCCATTAAACATTGGAACTTGGTGTTGATCCAATGATTCTGCTAAAATCAAATCATTATGTCAACAAATTAAATTAAATTTTTAAATTCAAATAGAATTACTCATTCCATATCTCTCATCTCCGAGCATGCACACCTGCCTCGAATAAAGTTCATGTAGGTTCGTAATTCTGTTCGCACCGGGTTGCAATCATTATATAACTACTTACATAAGGATCTTAATTACTTAAGTACAAACAAGGATGGAACCTTTGAGNGCTTGGTTTATTTGGGAATAGTTAATCTTATTATTTATGGGATTAGTTATTCCTTAGAAATAGGAATGAAATTTTATTTCCAAAAAACCAAACAAAGGAATGATATTACTGAGGAATGACCATTCCATTCCAGATGTCTAATTCCATGTACCAAACACAGGGTTAGTGNTAAAAAAAAAAAAAAAAGATGAAAAATTTGATGTATTAGCTTTCCTTCAAATTCATTAAAATCAGTCCTTCCAAAATTGAGAGGAAAAATAGATGAAAAGTTAATTATGTATGTTGAAATATATCTTATTTGTCGATATATCATATTTATCAATTACATATTATTTATATATTAATTTCGTATATAGATATAATGATAAAATTTGTATTTATATTTTTTCTAAAAAAATTTTAAAAAAATAATTTTTTTTCATCTTACCAAATACAAAACAATCAATATTTCTTACTTTCCATCCCTCTTATCAAACNAAAAAAATAATTTTTTTTCATTTTACCAAATACAAAACAATCAATATTTCTTACTTTTTATCCCTCTTATCAAACACAAAAGAGGAAATGAATGATTCCTCCCTAGAAGGATGGATAATGAAAATATATCACTCTTATTTTTTATTTTTTTATTTTTTTCATCCACACTACCTAACGGGCCATATTAATGAATATTGATGTTCTTTCCTTTCACTCATTGCTNTAAAAAAATAATTTTTTTTCATCTTACCAAATACAAAACAATCAATATTTCTTACTTTCCATCCCTCTTATCAAACACAAAAGAGGAAATGAATGATTTCTCCCTAGAAGGATAGATAATGAAAATATATCACTCTTATTTTTTATTCTTTTATTTTTTTCATCCACACTACCTAACGGGCCATATTAATGAATATTGATGTTCTTTCCTTTCACTCATTGCTGCACCACTTTAACAAAAGTAAAAATCTTACTTGGATGATAGAGAAAGGTAGGGGTGGCTACTTGCTATGCTGATTCGGGTAACTAATAAAAATTTGGAAATGAGAAAAAATCATATTTAGAAAATATATGAGAAACAAACACATGAGATAGGATCTAATTCCCAAGAAAAATGTCAATAACACAAGATTTAGAATGGGTTCGTAGCCCTTTATTATTGTAGATATGCTCTAGATGCCATGTTTACTTTAGATTCTTTTGGTGTAGCTTTAAGGAAACAGCAAAAATTATTCTTTCCTTCCCCTCCCCTCAAAGTCATCCTCCTCCATAACTACCTCCCCTCTTTCCCCTTCACCACTTTCCAAAATGGCAAGATGATAGAAAACAACAAAGTTAAACGTGCTATAGATTATGTGACTTTTTGCAGATACAAAATGAGATTTAAGTTTTTATCGATTTTTCTCATAAAGAGCCTTGGACTATATATATATTTTTTTTATTCCTCATTTTTTTGCCTCTAAACAAGTTAAGAGACAAGAGAAAATAGAGTCGGATTCGTGCATCTCCTTGTTTACATTGAGGACATGAAACAAGGGTAAAGGGAGGTGGGAGGGGGGAGGGGGGACAAAATCCAAAAACATTAACAAATAGTACCTAAAGAAATGTATTCCTTTTCTTGAAACTCAAACACAGTCTTTTACTGGACTGCGGGACCAACAAAACATACACTATGGCCCAGCCATTGGGGTTCAGTCTATCTATAGCCCCATTGATAGCCCAAATTGACACTGACAAACTTCAGAACGGTTCGGCTGTGCTCTTGCTCTTTTTCTTCGTCGTCTTGACAATGGAGTCCTCAAAACCCTCAATAGGAACTCCGAATCCTCTACTCTCCTTCTCCACTTATATCCACCAGCACTGTATCCGACTCGGAGCCGAGCTCACGAGTCGAATTGACGATACCAAACGATTCGCCGGAAAACTCGCCTCCAATTGGCCTCCGGTGACGCAGAGGCGTTCGGGTTCTATAATACATTCTTGTTCTCCTCCTTTACCTTTCGCTTCGGTGTCTCAGGGAAAGCAAGCCTCCGATGCTGCTTCGAGCTCCGACCGTGTTTCGAAGACGCTCACTGGTACGGCGGTGTACACTGTCAGCAACTCGAACAATGAATTTGTGCTGATTTCTGATCCCAATGGTCTCAAATCCATTGGACTCCTTTGTTTTCGCCAAGAAGACGCCGAAGCCTTTCTCGCTCAGGTCAGTTCTCTCTATCTGTATGTGCGTTTTGTATGCGTTAATTACGTTCAATGTGACTATTGGTGTTGTGGTTGCGATGTTCCAGGTTCGGTCACGGAAGGGAATGCTGAGAGGTGGCGCAAGGGTTGTGCCTATTACACTTGACCAGGTGATCAATGTTGGAACGGAGAAGTGATTTTTTATTGTTTTGTCTTCTTTTTTTTCTAAAAAAAAATCTGGTTAGTCTACACGGGTGTGGTGATTTAGGAAAAGAGTATAAATTGGATTGTGGATTAAACTGTTGGGGAAAGTGTAAGAAATTTTACTGGAAATGGCTTACAAAATTTGAACTTTGTTGTGCTTTGGGAGGTCGATGAGTTTCAGGAAAATTCAGAATGGGGGACAACTTGATGGGAATAATATGTATGGGGTTTTGATTGAAATAATTGTCAAAATATTTAGCGGAGATTTTATTTTAGCAACTAAGATTGTCAGATAGCTTTAATTGTGGGTGTCATAGAATGAAATTGGAAGTCATTTATGTTAGTGGGTGGGTTCTCTCTTCAAATTACTGTATAAGGTTGCCGATAGTTGTAGGCTTATTAATTGCTAATTAGTATAAATAAAATGTACCAAACACATCTTATGACTAGAGATCGGAAGGATGCCACCAATCAAGAATCCATTATTTTTGTAAGGAATTCATATTGAACTAATATGGATGATATCTTGAAGCTCCCAAACCACAGATCCACTTATTCTAGATTAAGGGAGACTGTTTTTTCAATTAATTTGCTTGTATAATATGCCATGACTTGGTTTTGTTAATCAAACATTTAGCCACTTGACTAAATTGATTGCTGATATTTTCCGCTCTGCAATTTGAAGGTCTATATGTTGAAGGTTGAAGGAATCGCATTCCGTTTTTTGCCTGATCCTGTTCAAGTAAAAAATGCATTAGAGGTTGGTACTTTGTGTGCTTTTTGGTTTCAGTAGGTCATGCCAATTGCATAATAGCATTAATTTAATGGACTTGAATCAGTTATCAAAAAAAAAAAAAAGGACTTGGATCAACTTGACTTGTGTGAATTACAATCATGCTGCTGTGATTGTTTTGTCGCTTCAGTCAAAGAGTAATGGCGATATGACTCCCGTTCACATTGCCAGTGAAATGACTCGCATACTTTTGCACCACTTTGTGTACTTGCATGTCTCACTACTGTTGCACTTTATAAAAGCAGATTTTACTTTTTTTTGTAAGTTTTCTCATAATTATTAAAATTTTGGCTTATATCTCATATTTATTTTGTAAAGAAGTAGCCTCAGTATTGCATCTTCAGAAGGCGTAAATAGGTGTTGCCTAGTGACTATGCCAATTGAAACAACAATGTTAGTCCTACATAACCCTTCTTGGTTGGGAAAAATCTAGAATAGGGCTGTCATCTTAGACATATGGTTCTGTTTCTTGAAGCTAAAGATTTTCATCAAATGCATTATGTAGGGTATCC